CCTATAGTCGCTAAGTGGTAAAACTAAGATTTCCCAGGCAGTTGATTATTAGGCCTATGTTCTGACCATGACACTAACAAATTTATTATAAAAATTCGGTAGCTAATCAAAATCCTAACCCCAGCACTAAATTGGATTTTATACTTGGAAGATTCCTCAGCCAATATTGGTGACTATAAGAATTTTTTTTATTGAAGATTACTGCATTGCAGATTTGTTCTAGATTAAGGTAAGGAAGGACTCCATAATAAATCATTTACAAATAACAAGTTCATTTTGCTTTAGAATGAGAACAATAAACAGCATAAACAACACATTGTTACAAAAAAATGTAACAATGACTATATAATTGATTTGTAAAGAAACAAAAGTGGGGGGTTGGTATAATGTGAAGGAGAGTGGAAGTAAAAACCAGGAAGAGAAASAAGTGAGCCAACATTTATTAAGCACTGTTTTAGATGCTTTCGTATAGTAATCTACTAATAATTCATAAAGATGGCAAACAGCGTTTATTTTAAGGACTCAGAACCAGTTGCCATAGAGGGCCCTGTCTTCTCTAGAAATATTTGGATGAGTCTATATTCAGAAAGTAGAATTTCACTGTACAGAATGCTGGCTGTTTATGTACTTTCTGATGCCCAAAGATAAAATTGAGATCCAAAATGTAAAAAACCATGGCTTAATAAGTCTTATAAAATTGAAATTTGATTACTTTTGTATTTAGCTTCTGATCATCTAAACAACGTTGACAGTTTTTTTCCTGATAAGTTAGCTCATTCATTATAGGGTTTTTAAAAATCACATAAAGTTCACATTAAATATTGTAACTTACATTGCCTCTAACTTGTTGCGTGGGTAGACAACATCACTTTGCCTCTATGCCATATAGTACCTTCTATTTAGATCTACATTCTATTTTTTTTGTTGTTTTTATTTTTTATTCAACATATCTATTTAGTCTTTATTATCTTCAGTGTCTGCACTATTCTTCTATGTATTTTAAATAACTCACTGCTAGGTATTTCCTGGAAATAACTTGATTTGGGGGAAACAACACATTATAGATTAAGTTCGGACACTTAATTAGCCTTATGACTTTGGGCATATTCTTCAACTTCAGCATGCCCATCTATAAATTGGAATTAAAGCATCTATCTCACCATAATAGACTGTTTGTATTTCTGTCCAAATGATCAATGCCAGTGTACATGATTACTAGGAAAGTATATGAATTTATTTCAAAGCATATCAGCTTAATTTCTCAGTGTCTATCTATAAAATGAATACGTTGGTTTAGATAGCAGGGAACCTTTTTGCCTTATAAAATGTAGAGATAATTTGGTGAATTTGTGCTTTGAAGAAATCGGTAAAATATCATTTTTTTGTTTGTTTGTTTTGTTTGTTCCAGGGATTGAATCCAAGGGCATTTAACCACTGAGCCACATCCCTATCCATTCATCCATCCTTCCATTTATTTATTTATTTAGACAAGTTTTAATTTTAAAAAATTATATTGGCAAATATGCCTTCAAATAAAGAGTAACAGACATCACAAATGTACCTGGGTAGTGGTTTCTTGGGAMATTTCCTAGAAAAGGGGAAAAGGAATGATCCCAAGTGCCTCGTTAGAACATCTGGAAATTCCAGTGGTTTCTAAGGTTTTGCTTTCAACAAAAGTTGGGAAAGCCCAGTCAAGTTATTAGCTGACAATAAAAGAAACCAATGACAGGCCAGAATGCTTTTATTTAAGTRAAATATGTGCAAAGAATTGGTAGACATCATAGAGCCACTTGGGAGGAACTCCCTTGAGGTTTTTTTTTGTATACCCTAGCCTCCCCTCCCCTCCCCTCCCTCATCCTCTTCCTCTTTATCCTCCTCGCTCCAATTCTTCTCCCTTGTTCCTCCCTTTCTCCTCCACTGTTCTTCCCTTCTCTTGCTGCCCCTCTTACCTTTTTATTTTTTATTTCAAGATAGGGTCTCACTAAGTTGCTGAGGCTGGCTTTGAACTTGCAATTTTCCTGCCTCGGCCTCCTGAGCTGCTGATATTATAGGCATGTACCACKGTGCTTAACTCTCTGAACATTTTTGAAGGAATTATTTTAAGGATAAATGACTAGAAGTAAAATTGTTGGGTTATGAAACAAAGATTTATAAGCTTTTTTATATGTGCATTTYGAATGCAGTATGGTTTTCTCATTTCTGAGCCTGGCTTCTTGAGTTTTAAATAATAAATTTTTAAGCCTCTATTTTTGAAACTTCTCTCTACTTGTAGTGTTTTTCTTCACAAAATATATCAAATACAAATTCACAGGTTTAATAATTAAGAAAAAGATTGATAAAAGGGAACATAAAGGGCATTTTAAAAGAAACTTAAATGTGATGGAAACCTTATAACGCCTAATAAGTGACACAAGGTTGGTCACCAATAATGCTTTTTTCTCATCCTTATGTGCTTAACTCCAATCTTGCCCCTATTTAGCACTTAGGTGCTTGTTGAATAAATGAAAAGATAGCTAGAAATACATTTCTGCTTTCTCAYCATAAACTACCTAACTGATTAGAATTTGGAATCACTTTCAAAACTGAGATCACTTTWCAGCCAATTAATTGAAAAGGGAAAAAACAAAGTTTGGTTTGCATCTGGCAGTGCCAGCTGCCTTGAGTTTTTTTTTTTTGTTTGTTTGTTTGTATACCCTAGCCATCTATGGTGTCCTGAGCTCTCTTAGCAAACAGGCTTCTTCTAACCTATCCTTACAACTTCAGTTCSGTAACCTTTCTTTTCTAGCCTGGCCTTGTCTTCGTGTGGAGATTCATCCTCCTGTCTTTGCCAGGATTTTCAGTAGACATCCCAAATTAAATAAGATTCATTGTTCTCCCTGTATCAATGTGATATTTAAGCAGGATATTCAGATRCCTGCCTGACAGCTCCCACCACCGAATTCCTTATCATAGTCTCTGTACAAATATAATCAGTAAGCAGCATTGTATAAGGGTGAGAATATGAGTGTGCTTAGGAGTGTGAGCTTTAGAATCAACAAATTTTAGTTTAGATCCATTTCCTGTATGTTGTGTAAAACAGACTATATAACCTTTTTGAGCATCTTCTCAAAACAGCTATACATGATACATGGTAGGTATGCAAATATTGGTTCTTCTTTTCCCATCCTCCTTTATTTTTGGACACACTTGGACTGTCTCATAGATGATAATACCTTAATAGTTCTCTTGTTTTTGTCTGATTATATTGCTATATGATAGAGACTGTATGTTAATTTTTAAATAAATATGGTAATTTAAATACCAATGGGTTTTTCCTCAGAAGCTGTATTAATTTGTATGCATATTTGATTTTTTTTTAAATACAGGCAGTTTCTTACTGCTAAAATGATAAAGAAGTGCTGAAATATTTAAATTTTTGTTTCTTAGTTCCTCATTGATTTATATAGCTTCAGTGATGACTATTTTATTTCTAATTGTTTTCACTTAGTGTTTATTCTCCAAGATAAATTTTTAATAATGTTGGTAAATAAAATAATGAAATTAAAAATCACAGCCTAGACAATCTCTTTTCACAAAATCCCTATGTAAATAGGGATGTTAAGCATTTCTCCCATTTGTTTAATATTTATAGAAAAATTCTACCCTTTTCTATTTAGAGTATCTGGTCTTATATCCAGCATTTCATGTCTTTTCTGAAATTATTGTCACTGATATCTGTAGTACCATTGTGTCTAGTTTTGGAAAACTGAAAATTATGAATTTTTAGGATATGCTACCAGGTAGGTCTATTTACCTTGGGGAAAAAAGACTTGACAAGGGAGATGGGCAGTACTGAGAATTGAATCCAGGGCTTCAAGCACACTCGGCACTCTACGACAGAATCTCTTTAGGCTTGCTTCTTTGCAGCAGCTAGTTAATATCCACTGGGTCCATAATTGCATATTGATATTAATTAAAAATGAATGGAAATGTGATTCAAAAGAAGATTGATAATGCTTAGGAATCCCTGAAATGTACTTCAAAATAACTTCTTAATATCTCCAGTGAGTGTATGTCTACAAGTAAACAAAACACAAGAATTTAAGAAGCTAGATAGATATAAGCTTCTTTTGTCAGGATTTTATCTTTATAACTTTCTTGGTTAGATTTAAATCTTCTTGGTTACATTTAAATCTTTGAGGGAAGAAGTATTAAGTGTGGTTAGATCTCATGGGAGCACTTGATTATTGTTGTAAGATTTGCTAAATTTAGGTGTTGACTTTTTAATAATGGGCTGTTGGTCTTATTGACTAAATGAAGAAATTTTGAATTCCTATATTACATCACAGATTAATGGAACTTTATAATGGCATTTAAAGTTTCTTGCCTGTTTTCTCCATATGACCCTTAGAATTATTTGAAGTTCTCTAAAATCTCAAAAGAGATTTGAATTTATATTGCATTAAATATTGACAGTCCCACTATTGCCACATTTAGTCCAGGAACGTGGTGTTTGTTTCTATTCAAATCATTTTTTTCGTTCTTTGATAAAGTCCTATAATTTTTTCTATTACAAGTTTTGCAAATTTCTTAATATTTTTACCTCAAATTCCACGAAGTATTTTTCTTTGTTATTTTTTTTTTTAAAGAGAGAGTGAGAGAGGAGAGAGAGAGAGAGAGAGAGAGAGAGAGAGAGAGAGAGAATTTTTAATATTTATTTTTCAGTTCAGGGCGGACACAACATCTTTGTTGGTATGTGGTGCTGAGGATCGAACCCGGGCCGCACGCATGCCAGGCGAGCGCGCTGCCGCTTGAGCCACATCCCCAGCCCTGTTATTTTTAATATGATATTTTTCTGTTGTATTTTCTAAGTGTTGTTATTTTTTAAGGTAGGAAACTTCATGATTTTTACTTACTAGCCAAATTGTTTAGTCCCAACAGTTTTGTATTCTCTTTGGATTGTAAATATTTTTGTAGAACAAGGGAATTGACCTCTGAATTTACTTTTTTTTTTTTTAAAGCTCTTTTCACTTATGGATATGAAACCTCCCATCTCTAGAGCCAAGATGATTCTCATTACTAAAGCTGCTATAAAAGCTATTAAGGTAAGAATAAAATAAGTATATTTAATATAAAAGTGTTTTTGAAATTTTGAAAATGGTATTCATCAAGGACACTAATATGCTTTTGCTGAAGGTTCATGATAATACTGTGTGCCTTTCAATTGTATGTTATTTCAGGTTTTTTTTTTCTTTATTTCATTTTAATCCTTGTTATAAACCAGCTATTAGCTTCTTTCTTATAAGAAAGGAAAAAAAAAATATCAGGCTCCATGAATTTAAATGGCTTACCCAAGATCACACTTAAATGACTCATTTTATAGAAACTGCATTGCTTAGTTCTAATTCCATTGTTGTTGTTGTTGTTCCTTTTTATAAGATTGCCTAATATCCTGCTTTATGAAAGTTTATTGATTAAAAATCCAATAGAAGGCTGGGCATAGTGATACTTGCCTGTAATCCCAGTGGTTTGGGAGGCTGAGACAGGAGGATCACAAGTTCAAAGCCAGCCTCACCAGTTAGTGAAGCCCTGAGCAACTTAGCAAAAACCTGTCTCAAARTAAAAAGGGGTGAGGATGAGCTCAGTAGTTAATTACTTCTGGATTCAATCCCTGCCCCCTCCCCCCAAAAAATCCAATGGAAGGACCTTCTGTTTAGGGTTAATTTTGTAGTTTTTGTTTTAGCTAATTCCTTTCTAATTTCTTATTTATGATTTTTTCCCCATTTGTTGCTTTCGGATCATTTCTTATGTTTTCTTTGGTATTATCTTGATAAGTTTTTTTAATTGTATACATTTCAAGGTTTTTTTTCTATAAATATTAAGTATTTTTGAAAACTATAGGAAATGTAGAAAGTATTAAACTTGYCAATAATTTTTTTTATTCTTTTCAGCTTTATAAGCACGTAGTTCAAATAGTAGAAAAGTTCATCAAAAAGGTAACTATTTCATTATAACTCATTTTATTTATGATGCATATTTGTAATTTACATTGTAAATTGTGATTTGAATGTTTTCTTCTAAAGCCACTGTATTTGAAAGTAGCCTTTAGATGTTCTTTTTATTCACTAGAAGTTTAAAAAATGTTTATAGCAGCATCTCATTAAGCATTTACTGTGAACTGGGCACTMAAGTTTTTTGTCGTGTCTCACAGCAAAATTTTCTGTCTTTGGGCCACGAGCTTTATATGCCTGATGGGCCTGCTTTACCCTTAGTCCATCTACTCTGTTGACATTATCTCACATTCAAGTATTTCAGATGAAATTACTTTGATGTTTTCCCAGTTTTTCCTATTTTCATCATGATTAAGCCTTTTTTAATTTGTTCTGCATTTATGTGTTGTCTTCTAACTTGTGAGGTTAAATTAGCACACGTGTCTCTGGAAGACCTAGAATAGTCTTGGACAACTTTATCCTATCCTCTTGACCTGRAGCTATGCAATGTAGTACATACTAATGTTTTTATCAGTGGGAGCTTTTTATAGCAGCAGATAGCCACTGTGTCCTGATCACTCGAATGTTTGCATTTGAATATATTTACATTTTGTTTATGTACATGAACATTTATAAGAGAAAAATGGAGACAGATGTTGGTTGTTAACCTACTTTTCCACTGAGTTTTTCCTAAACATCTGCAAAATACTTCTTTGCATAATTGTTATCATGATTTACTCAGCCAGTTCCCTATATCTGGATATTTAGATATTTCTGACTTTTTACTTTTTATAGAAAATGCTTTGATAACTAGCCTTGTGGGAAAAATGTGTACATGTACATCTCTTCTCCATAGTATAAATTCCTAGATGAGTAATTGTTGAATGATAGGCTTTGCTTTTATTACTAATTGTCTTCCTTAAGGGTACCTTACGCCAYTGCTACTAGAAATGTGTATGGTGCCTATTTCTCTATTTTGGGGGGAGGGATGTGTTAATTTTGTATATCARAAATTACCTTTAAACTTTTATTCCTCTAACTTTGTACTTAAGTAGAATTAAAATTGATTTATTYTTAAAGTTATTTTAGGGCTGGGGAGATAGCCCAATTGTTAGAATGCTTGCCTCACATGCACAAGGCCCTGGGTTCAGTCCCCAGCATCACGGGGAGAAAAAAATTAAAGTTTTTTTTTTTTTTGATAATTTTAAAAGGTGGTTTTGGAAATAGAGATGTTCTTAGGTGAATTTATATGAAAGTGGCTTAGGGTTTAATAAAGTAATATCAATTCTGAGAAATTGGAGGAGGGAGAGGAATCAGATGCATCTAAAATCTTGGGTCTGAAGTATCTAAGAATGGTATTCTTTAGGGACTGGTGGGAAATTTGACAAGTTAGCTAATAAGATGGCTGAAACATTTGAGTAGTTTCTAAACAGTGATTGGATGAATAAGGTTGCATAATATGAAAGTAATGAATGATTGTGAGTTTGATTTTCTTGTACTGACTTTACATTCTTACCCTTGCAGTGTAAACCAGAGTACAAGGTTCCAGGATTATATGTAATTGACTCAATTGTGCGACAGTCTCGTCATCAGTTTGGAACTGATAAAGATGTTTTTGGGCCAAGATTCTCTAAAAACATAACTGCCACATTCCAATATTTATATCTTTGTCCATCTGAAGATAAGGTATAGTTAATAATTCTTAAATTAAAAACTTGGATTCTTGTTGGATTTGTTATTTTTATGTTTATTTAATTGTGTRTTAGATATTTAAAGCCTACTATGTTATTAGATAAAATTTCCATGTAGTGATCTTTGTAAGTTTGAAGCCAAACCCCAGTGTTTTCTGCAGTGGTCATTTCATATTTGTTTTCTTGTGAAATTCTTCAGGAATGTAGTACTGTTGAAATATGAAAGGAACCAAATTTATAGAACAAATGATTGCTGGAGAAAGAGGGGGAAAGGGAGTTGCTAATTAACAGGTCTAATTTTTTTAGCTAAGCTCAAGTAAATTCTAGAGATTTGTTGAATAGCATGGTACCTTAAAAATTTGTTAGGAGAATAGATCTTGTATTAAAAGTGTTCCTTACCCCAATAAAATAAACTTCAAAAAAAAATGCTCTAGAAGCATAATCTTGCTTTAAAAAAAAAAAATACGGCTGGGAAGATAGGCTTTGTATAGTTGTGATGAAGAAATTCTGTAATAAAAGAAGTGTTTATCTCAGATTACTGCTTAGAAGGAAAGGGCCAATAGTTAATAGTCTTTCCCAGCATATAGAAGTGCTAGAGTAGCTGGTGTTTATTTATTAGCAATTAGATAATAGTATTTGGTTCCTTTTACATATATAGTTGGTTTTACAATGTATTGTTGAAAAATATTTACAGATACAATAAGTGGATAATAAATTGGTGGAAGAAATTACACTGGTAAACATACTCAATAATGAAGAATGGAGACATTTATTATAAATTTGGGTGTGAAAATATTGTTTTTATTCTTTTTTTTTTTTTTTTTTTTTTTGAGAGAAAGGAAAAAGACAACCGATTTACTACTTTGCTAGTAAAGTAGAAACACAGGGGACTCTTGTCCCAGAGGCTGTGATTCTGCCTCTTAAAAGAGGAGTGCTCTTAGGGAGTTGGGGGATGTATTAAATAATAAAAACAGGAATGATTCCTTGAGTGGAAGATAAAAATTGTGCTTATGAATAACACATCTGGATCTCCTTCAGTTTACTTGGTCACAGAAGAATTTGCTTCTCATTTATAGGGCAATTTCTAAAATATTTAATTATTTTAACTGTTATTCTAAAGAAATTTCTTTTTTATTTACTTCTCTTTTTTTCGGTCCATGGTGGAATTTCTTTGTAACTATAAATAAAACACAGTTAAGGGTTGGGACTGTAGTTCAGTGGCAGAGCTCTTGCCTAACATGTAATGAGGCACTGGGTTCAATCCTAAGCATCACATAAAAATAAAAGCATTATGTCCATTTACAACTACAAAAATAAAAAATAAAAAAAGAAAGATTAAACAGCAACAACAACTCAAAAAAAGGTGAAAACCTCAAATAATATTTTTTTATAATCCCTTTCTCGATATTCTGTCTTCCTAGATTATCCCCACCAAAGGAAAGGCCTGATTAGTGTAGTTTAATTGAATTATAATTGATGGCGGGGTTCCTGCTTATGAAACAGACTTAGCAATGGAAATGTTAGCCCTAGGTGGTCTTTCTCCTTTTTTGTAAAAAAGTAATATAACAAATTATTTATGCAAATATTTATCACATTCGTGTTTTCTCATACATTACAGAGTAAAATAGTTCGTGTGCTGAACCTTTGGCAGAAAAATGGAGTGTTCAAAATTGAAATTATCCAGCCTCTTTTGGACATGGCAGCTGGAACCAGTAATGCTGCCCCTGTAGCAGAAAATGTTACCAACAATGAAGGTAGAGTCATATGTGTCTGTGTACTTAAATAATGTTGTAACTGCCTATATTGGTAAAATTTTTCCTTTAAAAGGAAACTTAAGTTTACATCTTAGAAGGTAGGTTTTTTCCTTTTTTTATAATTCTATTCCTAATGAAAATATCCTTTTGTTACTTGTTACAGTATAAACCTCAGTTTTATTTTCGCAAAGAACCATAAAGGAGTTTAAAAAGAGAAAATTGTAAGGTGACTATACCGGGAATTGAACTCAGGCATTTGATCACTGAGCCAACATCCCTTACCTAACCCCCACCTTTTCCAATTTACATAGAGGGTCTCACTTAGTTGCTTAGTGCCTTGATTTTCCTGGGGCTGGCTTTGAACTCAGGATCTTCCTGCCTCAGCCTCTCAAGCTGCTGGGATTACAGGCCTGTGCCACTGAACCCAGCGACTTTTTTTTTTTTTTGAGTCAGGATCTCATTAAATTGCTGCGGCTAGCCTCAAGCTTGGTGATCCCCTGCCTCAGCCTTCTATGTTGCTTGAATTATAGGCATGTATTACTGCACCTGACTGTAAGTTAGCATTTTCTTAGGTTTTAATTTCCCCCTTCCCTTTTTTTTAAGGCTCACCTCCACCTCCAGTCAAAGTTTCTTCTGAACCCCCACAAACCACCCCAAACTCCATACCTGCAGTACCACAGTTGCCCAGCTCTGATGCTTTTGCTGCTGTGGCTCAACTGTTTCAGACAACTCAAGGCCAACAGGTAAGCTACCTATTCAACGATTGAATTGTTGCATGGTTAAGTTGTGTCATCAGTTCTTGTTTTTCCATTCTTCATTCATAAGCACATTGAAGGGAGGAAATACGTCTGCTTTTCAACWAGAGAGGCCCTCACTAGGGAGATAATTACATATGATAATAAAAAAAATACAAATGTGAAAAACAAGGTAATGACAATACATCTTTGAAGACAACTTTAGAACTCCTAAGTGGCCAGTGTTCTTGCTCACAATTCTAGTAGCATTTCTGATTGATTTAAAAATTGATTGGAGAGAATTTTTCCACATTTTAGAAAAACTCATTTTACCTTGTTCACAATTAAGTGTATTTCTCTTTTCTTTTACCTTCATTTTGTATCATTGAGATTGTCAGTATACATTTTTAACTTTTAGCAGTGCACACTGTAATATCTCCATTCACAAACTTAACCAATAGTAAAAGATGGATTTTTTTTAAGTAAATTAACTTTTTTACTCCGATTATACTTTGTTGTGTGGTTTATCAGTTTTCCCATTCTTTAAGCTTCAGCAGATCCTTCAGACTTTTCAACAACCTCCAAAACCACAGTCTCCCGCTCTTGACAATGCTGTGATGGCTCAGGTTCAGGCTATCACGGCTCAGTTAAAGACAGCTCCTACACAACCACCTGAACAAAAAGCTGCTTTCCCCCCACCTGAACAAAAAACTGCATTTGACAAGGTACGCTTCTCTCACAACACCCACCTCACTGTCTGTATCACTCAGCTTGGATTGTGGGAGTTATCCTTCTGTAGCTTTGCTATGGGTTGTTCCTTTTATTGTTTGTGATTTGAGACATTTTCTGCCTATTCAACATCAAAATGTTGATTATTTTTCCTGGTTATAAATATAAGATGTGCTCATTGCAAAAGTTTTCATGGAATGAAGGAAATTGAACCCAAGAAAATTCTTCATTAAACTGCATCCTTAGAAACTACTACTATAAAATTTTGCTATATATCTTTTCAGAATGAATTTCCTGTGGATATATACTTTTCATTAACTGTTCATAATAACATACCTGCTTATTTTGATCTTACTCTTCGTCTCACTTTATTGTTGATGTTACTGCTAGTGGGTTTAAATTTACAGTTTTAAATAAATGCCGTTTAATATATAGGATTCCATTAACTGGACCRGTCAGTTGAGCCATTCTCCTACATATATAGACTTCAAGTTACTGTGTTTGTTGTTTATAGACCCTAGTTACCATATCTATAATGTGAGGGTTTTGGTTGGTTCAGTGTCTTTCAGCTGCTGTATTGGACCTTATGGTTCCTTAAGTACATCTAAGAAGCTTTGACTAAGGACATGGGTATGCTAAACATGGACATTTCAGAGATTCCTGTGAAGTTTAACCCACAGAGCTCCACTGTTATCTGTTTTAATTGGGTGTATGGCTATGTGAAATTTCGTTTTACTTTAAAAGTTTTTGTTGCAAAACACAAAAGTTTGAAAATCATGGAACTGAATGATATCTTTGGTTTCATAATGTCTAAAACTTCTAATTCTTTCCAACATTCTAATTATAAGATAATTATAAGCTTTATTGCCAGTGTTTCCAATTAAGAATCCATGTAGTGAATGCTGGTTTTCATTGTATCCTAGTAATTTATGAATGACTACTAATTAAAAGGTTGGGTGCATTTTTTTTTTAAGAAAAAAGAAATACGTGCTTATTAGAGAAAACAAATAATATTGAAATTATAAAATATAAAGGGAAGCAATTCTATACTAGTTTGAACATATTTGTTGTATTCTTTCATATCCAGTTTAAGGAACAATGTAAAATCTTACATTGGTAGTTTTATTAGTTTTTTATTCTGTATTTTGATTCAGAAAACTCCATACCTGCACTTTAAAAGAATTTATTCTTCTAGTAGCTTTTTTTTKGTCTCTATTTCCTCTTGAAATCTAGTTGAATCTTTATATTTTTTGAATTGCCAGTTCTCCCTCAGTACTTTTTTAATGCACTAAAATTTCCATCTTTCTTTGTCTAGCTTAACAGTGTTCTATCCCACTAATATATTTATTTCTGCTTCATAATCAGTTGTAACATTTTTTTAGAGAGAATTTTTTTTAGAGATTTTTTTTAAGAGAGAATTTTTTTTTTTAATATTTATTTTTTAGTTTTCTGCAGACACAACAACATCTTTGTTTGTTTGTGGTGCTGAGCACGCATACCAGGAGAGCGCGCTACTGCTTAAGCCACATCCCCAGCCCCAGTTGTAACATCTTAACATGTAAGCTAGGGATTGACCCCAGGACCTTGCCCATGCTAAGCAAATACTTTACCACTGAGCTATACCCACAGCATGTAATATGCCATGTTTTATATCCAGGTGTTCCCCCTACTTTCTCTGGCTATTTATTCATGGTCATATGTATTAGTATTCACCAGAGAGACAACCAGTGATTATATGAATTGATGAAAAGAGATTTATCTTAAGGAATTGACTCATGCACTTAGGGCCAGAAAATTTGAATTGTCATGCAAGTCAGCAGGCTGGAAATTCAGATTAGAGTTATCATTGCAGACCCGAGTCTGAATTCTGTAAGCCTGCAGACTGGAAACTCAGGCAAGGTTTCTGTGTTGCAGTGTTGAGAATTCCTTCTTCGGGAAACCCCAGTTTTTATTCTCAAGATCTTTACCTGTTTGGTTAAGGCCTACTCCTTAGGAAGGGTAGTCTGCTTTACTCTATATGATTTTAGTGGTGATCTCCTCTAAAAAATACCTTCATCTGGATTAGAGTTTGACCTAACTAGTTTAATGATACTTTCTTCATGTGACAGAAAAACTGTTGATTTTATTTTAGTTTATAAATGGTCACAGTATTAAATGCTTTAGTTTTCTAGTTGGTTCTCTTGGGTTTTCTAAGTAGCTACTAAATTTGACTTTTTCTCTCCAGTATCCATGTCTTTTTCTTTTTCTGCCAATGACTAGGCCTTCCATAAAAATATTAAGTAAAGACCCTGTTAGTAGGTGTTCTTATAATTTGACTTATAATTCCTCAAGTGTATTTTACCTTAAGTGGGTTGGCTAGTGTTTGTTACATCAAATTTATAAAAAGGAATTCTGTGCTTTTTCATAAAATTGTCTATTTTTAGCTAGTCACTGAGAATTTGTCAATTTCAGTGTTTTGTGGATCTTCAGTTAAAAGCATCAAAAATTACTTTGGGATAGATGRTAGTTTTTAATTGTAGAATTGTTTTGTCAGAGCAACATGTATAGATCTTAAAACTTTAAAGAAATATTGATCTGTAATAAAATGCAAAGATCGTAAGTTTTGTTTTTGTTAAGAGACTTAAAATCAGAATTTTAACTTTGGCTCCTATCACTATCCTGATGTGGAGTTAGATAAATGTTCAGTATTTACTAGAGTAAATTATTGATGGCAATAACTATATTTTATTGCTGCCACAGGAGTTAAATAAACTAATATGTGTAAAACAGCAAGGTACCGGGGCTTAAGAGTTTAYGTTTAGAAAATATGAAATGTTTGTTTATAATAAGAACTTTTGATCCCCTGATGTGGGGCTGGGGCACAAGTTAGCTCTGTCCCAAACACTTTATACTTGGTTTAGTCCTCCATACTGTATTGTTGAAAAGGGGGCCTTCCTTCCTTTCCTAATTTAGAAATCTGTTGTTCAGTGAAGTAGAACCACAGTCTATAGGCAGAACTATCACAGAACATTGGGAGTTTTGACTTTGAAATCCATGAGTAGAATGGATACATCTTGAAGGAAAAATTTGCTTGTTGTAAGCTAAAAACTGAAGGCTTTGAAGGCCCAGTGTCAACATCCTGATTTTACCATTCATTGACATAATAATCTTGGTTATATTTCTTAATTACCTGAGGTTTAGTTTCCTTATCTATAAAAAGAACAAACTAGATCTCATTGCAGGCTTTTGTTGTTGCTGTTGTTGTTGTTGGGGGGTGGTACTGGGATTGAACTCAGGGACACTTAACCACTGAGCCACATCCCCAGCCCTTTTTTGTGTTTTATTTAGAAACAGGGTCTCACTGAATTGCTTAGGGCCTCAGCCTCCCAAGCCCCTGGGATTATAGGTGTGTACCACTGTGCCCACCTATTCTGATTATTTTTAATAGAAATTTATGGTAAGCTCCGAAGTTTCGAAAAGAAGCTAGTGAATATGTGGTGAGACAACTCTGTGTCTGTATCCTGTGCCATTTTCTTTTTCATATTAGTATATTCTCTTTTTTTGACATTTTAACGATAAGAATTTATTTTCATAGATGTTGAAAAACTAATGAACAATTATCATATTAGTATAATCTTGAACARGCAATATAGGGATATTTCACTGTGTGTGTTCATAGTGATTGGATAAGTTATCTTATACATTGACATTTGACTAAGAATGTACACTCATTTTTATGTACACAAAGTTCCAGAGGTTTTTAGTCTTAAATAAATGAATATTTTAGGAAAAATAAGTACACTGCTCAGTTAATTATGAGATTAAGCAAATAGAAAATGGTCAGAAAATTTTGCGCTTATAATTGGAGAAGGAAAGCTGAATAAAAAATTCTTTTTCAAAATGTTATTTGTGTAAAAATTGTCTTTCAACCAAGATCCTCTGGGACACTTGCAAAATTAGATTATATACAACACTGTGGTGGGGTTAATGATGATGTTAAGCATCTGTTGTTTAGACTTAATTCTAGTCTAAATTTTAAAATGGAATATTGGCATACCTATTCCAGAAGCTGCTTGATAGATTTGATTATGATGATGAGCCAGAAGCTGTGGAAGAATCAAAGAAAGAAGATGCTGCAGTCACCACTGCAGTACCTGTTCCTGCTGTTCCTCCTGCATCTTCTGTAGCCACACCTGCTACCGCTGCTGCTGCACCCGCTGCTGCTGCACCCACTGCCACCTCACCACCTCCCCCACAGACAACATTGTGAGTTTCTAAGTTGGTAATAGTTGTGAAGTATGATTTGAGTAACATTTAGCCACCACCACAACCCCCAACTTTTTTTTTTTTTATGGAGTGATTATTTTGTAAAATTGGAACATTATGGATTTTCTCTTGAATAGAAGGTATCCTGTTAGATTTAGAATTTAAAAATGGCTTTTGTGTTAGAAATAGTACTGAGAATATAGTACTAATGACTTTTGGACAACATTTCAATATGTTTTTATAACRTAGATGTGTCTGAGAATCTTAAGTGCTTCTAAATGAGTTAAAAGATTCTTCACTTTTTTTTTTTTAGTGGATTTCCTGGAGATGGCATGCAGCAGCCAGCTTATACACAACATCCAAATATGGATCAGTTTCCACCTCGAATGATGGGAATGCAACAAGATCCAGTACACCATCAGGTGTGGGCATTTTTCTTGCAACTGAGTTTTAATAACTCAAGATCTGTTCCTTAGAGAATGTAGTTTGTGCTTCACAGACCACTGTTAACTTGTGTGGTTAAGTAATACAGCAGCTCCAATTAATAACTGTTGAGCACAAGACTGTTATAATTTTAGTTAAAATAGTTTAGAGAGACATTACAGTTCTATTTTTAAAAACTCACTTATTTAGTTACATAGCTCTTTCCCATTTTTCTGCATGTTGTACAGTTACATACTTTAGAGCCTTCAACTCTCAATGTTCAGAAAATATAGTTTGAAATCTGAAATTAAAGGAGCATACTGGAGATTTACAGGAAGTTAGAGATTCGTTCATTGAATCTGATTCAGTAAGTCCTCTAATTCAGTTTCTTAAACTTGGCTATGCATCTGAATTATTGGAGCAAGGAGAGGGCATGTTAAAAATACAGAGCATGGCTGGGCTCACTGACAAATGCCTATAATCCCAGTGGCTCGAAAGGCTAAGGCAGGAAGATCGTGAGTTTAGAGCCAACCTTGGCAATTTAGTGAGGCCCTAAGCAACCCATTGAGACCCTGTCTCTAAATAAAATACAAAAAAAGGTTGAGGATGTAGCTCAGTGGTTGAGTGCCCTTGGGTTCATTCCYCAATACAAAATATATATATGCGCGACACACAAACACACACAGTATATCCCTTCAGTACTACAATCATTCTAGAGAATCTTGATTTTTGATTTTCTTCTTTTCAATGCTACAGTGATTATCTTGTTGGATTCTCTTGTACAAGCCAGCTATGGGAAATAATACTTTATGTAGTCTTTTTAGAAAAGACTTTAAGACATCTCTTTACCCTATATTCATTCTCTTAATATGTATTTATTTCAGTTTCTTCTTCATATTTTATAATATGAAGTTAATTTTAGAGACTTGTTGGTGATGTTTGGAAAGTATTTTAAAAACCTGTTTAAAATATGAATAAAACTCATGAATTACTGTATTTCCAGCAATTACTGATAAGTTTATAATAATTGGAAAGATTTTGTGACATTAGTATATTTGTTGTGTTAGTGCTTGAATTGTACMTGCAGAAATAATGTTAAGTTGTGGTTTGCTAAGTTGGTATTATGAATGAAATGAAAAATTTTTAAATCATTATTTTTTTTGAAACTCTGAGTATGTTGAAATTACTCTCTTAGTAAATTTAAAAAGAAGTAAACCTAGAAATCACTCTCCCAAAAGGCTTACTTGCCATGAAAGAAGTTGAAAGAAGACAATTCACAGTAGAGTGCGTTTGACTTAAGTTCAGCCTATCATGGTGCTTCCTTATGTAAATAAAGCTATGTCTTCAAATGTGTAAAGTCAAACCAGTATATTCATAATTTTGAAATGATTTGTAGGATTTTTAATCTAATACTTGAGTGTGTAACAATACTTCCAGGAAAGATTATACTATTGAAATTGTTAAACATTGTTGAATGTCATTGTAGCTTTTCCTTGATTGATGTTTATAGAAGGTATTTTAGTTTTATATAAAGTAACTAAGCATTTTCCAAATTGTTTTTGATAGCTTTTACTTAAAATCTAATCTAATTAAAAATTAAAGGTTCCACTTCCTCCTAATGGACAAATGCCAGGATATGGACTTCTTCCTACACCTCCATTTCCTCCCATGGCACAGCCTGTGATTCCTCCAACTCCACCAGTACAGCAGACTTTCCAACCTCCTTTTCAGGCACAAAATGAACAACTTACACAGAAGCCACATCAGCAGGTAAAATTTTATTAGATTGCTAATTATTGTTTTGGTTGACTTAGATTTTTTTTAACTTTATGTATATTTTTAATTCTAATTTGTTATATATGACTGTGCATTTCAGTTTATATTACACATATAGAGACAATTTTTCATATCTCTGGTTGTACACAGAGTCACAAGTTGCCTTGATTTTTATGGACGTTTCTGCTTTTCTGTTTGCCATCTTTGTTTTTTAATATGAAGAAGAAAAAAAAAACAACACTGTGGGCATATATTAAACCCTCATTATCTGTGCTCCACGTTTTTCACCCGGAAAGTGGACATATAATACTTCCGGTTTCCACAGGGATCTCTGAGGTTTGAGATAGAGTATAGAAGACATAATCAATGCCTAGTTTACTGTCTTAAAGTGTTATATAATGTCCAGAAATAGAGAATTGCCAAAATATGACATTTTTGCTTTGTTAAGTGATGACCACTTTATTAGAAATTTGGTCCCAAGTAACTAAAAGATGAAGACATAATCTCTTTGGAGCAAGAGTTTTTTAATTTAGTATTTGTTAAATTTTGGCCTCTAGAATTTGCACAGTTTCTTATTTTATGATGGTTTTGTTTTTAAGGAAATGGAAGTGGAACAGCCTTGTATTCCAGAAGTTAAGCGGCATATGTCTGATAGCAGAAAGTCAAGATCTAGGTCAGCATCCAGGTAATTTAGAGAAAATGTCTTACCAATCCTATATGTCTTAGAAGACATATAGGTGAAAAACAAATAAGGCTATTTTAATGAATAGCACTTTATATTCATACATGGGATAAAGSAGAAACACAAATACTGATTTTAAAAAGAAAAATCTAAGGTCTGTCATCTTACCCATGTTTTCTTCAAGTTTATCTGGTGTCTTGTTTATATAGAGTAACATGGTATTAGAAAAAGAATATACTCAAAGTTCCTTTACAACTTTTATCAACCAACAGAAGTGAGAGAGTAAAGCCTTCTTGGGTTAAGTATTTAATTGCTGCAGAAAAGAAGACTTTCCTAATTAAAGTAGCAGTGCCTTAACCATGAAAATTTACTTCTTACATTATAATTTAGTTTCAGAGGAACTGAAGATGATAGATAACTTTTATAGGCTGAAAACCTTTCTTATTTAAATTATATGCATGCTCTCTATCCTCAGGCATACTAAAGATCTTTAAAATGAGTTCCTGACTAATCTTAAATATCCAAAACATTAAATTACCTAGTTGTTTTTTCCCCTCTAACTTAATATGAGTATGTATTTTCTATTTTTTTCTCCATGTATTATCCATCCTCCTAATAAAAATATTAGGTCACCAAAAAGGAGACGATCTAGATCTGGTTCTAGATCTCGAAGGTCTCGTCATCGACGTTCCCGATCAAGGTCCAGGGATAGACGCCGACATTCTCCTCGATCTCGATCCCAAGAAAGGCGTGATCGAGAAAAAGAGAGGGAACGGAGACAAAAAGGCCTGCCTCAAATCAAACCAGAAACTGCAAGTGGTAAATAACCCTTTGTATTCAAACTTCCTGCATTATTTTTTATATGGTTGGTTTAACATGTTTTATAACCGTGAGCAGAGCCATAAATGAAATATTTTCACTATGTTGTTTTATTCCAAATATTGCTTTCTTGTGTCTTGTTTGAATTTAACCATTTACAGGATATATTAACTTGCATAATTACATGAATCTCATCAGATATCTTTAGAATGTTTAATAAGGTATGCTATATTCTTGTTATAAATCAGTAACTATTATAAAGATTTTAATTCATAGTAATTTCTGGGGCATATAAAATTTCTGACTCTATAAAGCTTATTGCCTAGAATACATCATAAAAGAAAAACTGTAGACACCCAAGAGTTGGAAAAGGATATCTCCATGTAGTGAATAAAGCACCAAGTTAGTTTTTAAATGAAGAGACTTAGACTCAAGTCCTGGTTCTACTGTTTATTGGCAAGGTGACTGGGCAAATTATTGCTTCTTTGACCTCAGACTTCATTGAGATCTTTGGTCTAAGTATAAAAAGACCAGTTTTTCTAACTCTTAAGTATGCCTTTAACTATTCTGGTTCCATTTCTAGAAGTGCTAATACAGTTTTCTAAATTTAAACAATTTTGTATAGGAATTTTCTGTGTTAAACTTTGGGTATCATAGATGTGCTCATATATTTTATGTAACTTTTTAAAAATGTAACATGAAGTTTACTTATTAAATGTGAATATTTTTACAATCATTCTTTTATTTTCAGTTTGCAGTACTACACTCTGGGTGGGACAGCTGGACAAAAGGACTACTCAACAGGACGTTGCCAGTCTATTAGAAGAGTTTGGTCCCATTGAATCAATTAATGTGAGTATTTATTTAATTATTTAATGAAAGTGGAGCAGATGTGAGTAATATCATTTTACGAAATTAAGGACTTGAGATTTGAGTTATAATTTCCATAGACTTGTAGAAGTCTATGGACTTGTGGCTRCATGTTTAGGTGTTCTGAGTCTGTGCTCAGCACTCTGCATTTAATATTTCTTAGACTGTAAAGTTTCATTTTAAAATTTTTCTATGAAAGTCTACTTATGGCAAGTGACTTTGGCCATAGTTTATTCTGCATTGGCTGTTGGGGTGAGGAGTAGGACTGTTGAACCTGGTTATTATATCTTGTTGCCTTTTTTTTTTTCTTGGTAATAAAATGTTTTGGAGCAGATGATTCCTCCCAGGGGCTGTGCCTATATTGTTATGGTTCATAGGCAAGATGCTTATCGTGCCCTGCAGAAACTGAGCCGTGGAAACTATAAAGTAAATCAAAAATCCATAAAGGTACAGTTTTATAATTATTTTTTATTTTTATTTTAATGTGGAATTAATATGTTGCTTTTTAAAAACTAATTTGGGCTTAGTTATGACTTGAGGCATTTCAGATATRTCCTTTTAAAATTCTTAACAAAACCTATAATGTTTATTAAAACACAATTTTAAATGTTCAGTGCATAGTAGGAATTGAAGGGAGGTTCTGGGTATAGAACCCAGGGCCTCACAGAAGTATAGCTGTAGACTATCCCCTTGTTTAAGATAGATACTGTGTCATCAAATATAATTGATTGATGCCTTAAATAAAATGTGTTTTAGCATATTTTTTTGAGATTTATTACTATCTCAAAATGAACTGTGAAAAATGATTGTTAATGATATAGAAAATGATTCAGGTACAAAGCCTTTCATATCCTCCCCGCCCCCCCACCCCRAGAAATCAAAGGCATTGTTTCATCAATGTCCTAACGTTTTTATTTGTTTCAATTTGTTTTGTTTTTCAGTACTGGGCATGGACCCAGTTCGCTCTACCACTGACCTGCATCCCCACGCCTTTTATTTTTTTAKACAGGATTGTTCTAAGTTGCCCAGGCTGGCCTGGCACTTAAGAGTCCTCCTTTGTCATCCTCCTGAATTACAGACATGTCCATTCTTTCTGGCTCCTAAAGTCCTGTTTTATTAAAAAGATTTTTTGTCTAATGTTAATTGCCAGGATTCCATAGACTTTCAAAAATGACACCCAGCATGCCAGGCTATATAGGAAACTTTCAGTCTCTCTAATGAACTTATTTTCTATGAGCTTTACAATAGCTGGGCTGGGTAGTTGGGGTCAGGGTGAGGGTTGATAAGGAGCAGTTGCCATTGAAATTTTCAGCTGAGGACAAAATGAAGGTATAGCCAGTTCATGTTGAGAGTAAAAGTCTGAGATCCAGAAATAATTAGTGCCAATGTTCCTTTACTTCCTACATCCAAATGAGTAGCATGATGTGGAGTAGTGAACTCTTTAAGACTTACTTTCCTTTTCCCTTCATATTTTCACTAATGGTGAAATAGATTGCCTGGGCCTTAAACAAAGGAATAAAAGCAGATTACAAGCAGTATTGGGATGTAGAACTTGGCGTTACCTATATTCCATGGGACAAAGTCAAGCCTGAGGAACTGGAGAGTTTTTGTGAAGGAGGAATGTTGGACAGTGATACACTTAACCCAGGTAAAACTGTCATTTCTTTTACAGTTCATTTATTCGCTTGGAAGTGTGTTTAATAAAATATCTGGTTTGTTCTTTATAAGAAAAAATTTTAGAGATTTAACACCAACACAAGGCTCAAAAAGTTTTGGATTTGGGAGGATTACACATTTAAGGTTTTTGAATTATAGATGGTCCAGCCTGTAAAATCTGCAAATATTCTGAAACATTTCTAGTCCCAGGCATTTTGGATAAGGGGTACTCAACTTTAATGCAGTGCTTCATCATAATTTCTTTGGAAATTTTTAAATGTTCAGAGAAGCAATGAAAAGAAAATGTGTAAGACTAGAAGGTTCAGTTACCTCTGGTTATTAACATTACAGATGCCTGATTGACAGTAAGATTGCAGTGGGGAAAAATAGAAAAATATATAGGCATGACCTATAGATTAATAGATAACAGGAACAAAGGGCATAAAGTGGCTTGGAAAATAGAATGAGCATTCAAAGTAATCTTGAAGTAGGAGTGATGTTTGAGAGCCAGAATTAGGTAAAAAAAAAAAAAAAAAAAGTGCTATACTATTCCCAAACGCCACCTTATCCTTCCATGATGCATGGTGCCTTCACTTAAGGATAGAGCTTGGTTTCTGTTCAGACAGTCAGACCTACTATCTTCCAGATATCTGAGAGGCTCTGAACCAAAACTAAAAAGGCTGGGGAAGTGGTAGTCCTGAAGCTCATACACAGTGGGGTGGGGGTGTTCCTTTAAGAGAAGGAGAATCTCTGATGGATTAGTGTTCTAGAGGACAGAATGGAAAGATAYTTACCTATTTTTCATTTGACTAGAAGGTATGTGGAAACATGTGAGAGGATATCCGAGTTATTAGAGAAAGTTTTTTTAGTACACTCCTGTGGTTAAAAACAGACTCTAGAGGGCTGGAGATGTGGCTCAAGCGGTAGCGCGCTCGCCTGGCWTGCGTGCGGCCCGGGTTCGATCCTCAGCACCACATACCAACAAAGATGTTGTGTCCCCCGAGAACTAAAAAATAAATATTAAAAATTCTCTCTCTCTCTCTCTCTCTCTCTCTCTCCTTTCGCACTCTCTTTAAAAAAAAAAAAAAGAAAGAAAGAAAGAAAAAAAAAAACCAGTCTCTAGAGCAGGGTACGTCTGGGATGAATCCCCTACCACTTAGTAGGAATGCGACTTTGGGCAAATTGTCTTGGCTTTCCTCATTTGTAAAATGGGAATATAATAGTAATCTACTTTAGATAGCTGTGAAAATGTTAGTATACATAAGTGTTTAGGATGTGGCTAGCACACTGTAAGCACTTTTTTCCATGTTTTTTATTGTTCCTTAATTTAAATAATTATTGTTTATAAAATTCACATAGGAATTTCTGTATTAATTTGGTTCCGATTTTTATAATCTCATTGTTACATTTCTTTAAATTTTATAGATTGGAAAGGAATTCCCAAGAAGCCTGAAAATGAAGTTGCTCAAAATGGAGGTGCAGAAAGCTCACATACAGAACCAGTATCACCCATACCTAAACCTTTACCTGTGCCTGTACCTCCTATTCCTGTTCCTGCACCTATAACAGTGCCACCTCCACAGGTGAGAATATTTGGGACATAGTTTAAACCTTTATAGATCTTATTGTAGTCATATGTCTAGATTCAGTCAGAACCACAAGTACATACATATGCATATTTTTTATATTTTGGCATATCATGTCATTTATAATCTCTATAACACTTTCATTTCATAAATATATTGCTTTACCATCTGTTTAGATTGTTCACTGTCTTAAAATATTCTAGACATTAATTCTAAGTATTTGTTTTGTAGGTACATACTCTTTTTTTCTTATGGGTCCTTTATTCTTCAGAATATTATTTTCTGAAGGATTTTGGATATGCACCCAGTACAGCTGCTTTGAGGGAAGGGGAGCCTCTTAATYTTCAGTTTCAATGGTGCCATCATGAATTTTTTTTAACAGATATTGAAAGCTAGTTAATAAGCTGAGTGTCATTTAACATAATGAGAAGTATATTATTAGAAAAAAAAACCTTTGCTATCTAGTTAATTCACCTGGTGCTTCAAAAGAAAAAATGCACATTCTGATAGAATTGCGTTTGAGTTCCAGCTCCATTGTTTGTACTTAGCAATGTGGCTTTGAGCGAAGCACCTAACTTTCCCTAGTTTTGGCTTTGTGTTCCTCTTAGGTCAGAGTTTTTTTGAGGAATAAATGAGACAATGTGTGTTAAGCACTCAGCATATTTCCTAGCATATAATAATAATAATGAGRAAACATTTGGGTGAAATTTATAAATACTTGATCCATAGTTCCAAATCAGATAAATCTGATCTGTCACAAAAATAGGTTGTCTGGTCTCTTGATTTTCTCTCAATGTAAGGGGAAAATTACATGTTTTAATATATAAACAGTAGCTGGCATTTGTTGGCTATTTAGTATAAAAGTGTCAGGTACCAGTAATTAATGTGTATTTACTCAGTGCCATAATTATGTGATATTGGCACATATCCCTTTTTTTCATATTGGGATTTGAACTCTGGGCTACTCGACCACTAAACCGTTTCCCCATCACCTGATTTTGTATTTTATTTAGAGACAGGGTCTCACTGAGTTGATTAGTGCCTCGCTTTTGCCGAGGCTAGTTTTGAACTCACAATCCTCCTGTCTCAGCCTCCCAAGCCGCTGGGATTACAGGCATATATATATACCACCATGCCCAGCATGTTTCCATTTTAGAAAGTTTAAATAGCTTGCTTCCCCCACATGTAGCCACCTAAGAAGAGGGTAGAGACAACTTAGCTTCAGGATTTGTGTTCTTAGCCACTAGGTGATTGCTAAGTAGCACTTCTTAGAGCTAGAGTTCCCAAAATTCATTGAACTTTGAAACATTTTTAAAGGTATCATTTGCTTTCAGAGCACCAGTGGATGCTGATGAAATAGAGTGTGAATTTGCATTCCTGAAGGAGAAAACAAAACTTCCCTTTTCTCTCATTTGATTTATCTTTATGTCATATTTATATAATTGAATCACAAATTGTATCTTATAACTAATTTATTGATAGAGTAAGCACAAATTTAGAAACATTTAGTTTTCCAGCAATAAAATATTTATTTCATCTAARTATACTGTGTGAGGGCAGCTAGGTGGATAATTCCATTTTTATTTTTGTTTCTTTCTAGGTCCCACCACATCAGCCGGGTCCTCCTGTAGTTGGTGCTCTTCAGCCACCCACATTCACACCTCCTTTGGGAATTCCCCCTCCAGGTTTTGGTCCTGGTGTTCCTCCACCACCTCCTCCACCACCATTTTTGCGCCCAGGATTCAATCCAATGCATTTACCACCAGGTACACTAAGTTGTTTGAAAAGACATTCTTTTAGAATCTGAAATGAAGTGATACAAAAGTTGACATTATTTTTCTTACTTTAGGTTTTCTTCCTCCTGGACCCCCACCTCCTATAACTCCACCAGTATCCATTCCTCCTCCTCACACTCCACCAATAAGCATCCCAAACTGTAAGCATGTTTTTCCATTGTGTTTACTTGACCTTTTCAAGCTGGGGGTAGAAGGGAGAATGAACCAGTAATAGGATCTATAGTGTGGCAGAAGAATGTTGACCAGGAAGATAATTAATTATTCAGCTTCACATGTTGATGTAATTATATTCCTTAGCTACTATCGCTGGTATAAATGAAGACACTACAAAAGACTTATCTATTGGAAATCCCATTCCAACAGTGGTGTCTGGGGCTAGAGGAAATGCCGAGTCTGGTGACAGTGTGAAAATGTATGGCTCTGCTGTGCCACCTGCTGCACCCACGAATCTGCCTACCCCTCCTGTAACCCAGCCTGTTTCACTTCTTGGTAAGTTAATTTTTTTTTTTATCATTAGTTTCCCCACCCAAGTTAGGTATCTTAAAAATAATGTGAATTTTGGAGAAGTGGTCTCTTAGGCTAGTTTTCTTTGAGGAAAATCTTCTTAAATCAAATGTGTGTTTTATAAGAAACCTCAAAGGTGGCATCATGCTTATTTGTCTTGAATAAATGTTTGGATTTCCACATCTTAATTTGGTACAAAAAATGATTAATCTCCTATGTAAAAGAAATTGTTACAGAATTCTTGATTAACATACCTTCTTACTCTTCCAGTTTCAGAAAAATATTTCTTTGATGATATAGGTTTTTCTTTGTCTGGATCAATTTTTATCCATCTGAAACCTCTGAACTTTGATAGCATTTTTTGTAGGATGGCAAATCATCTTTGCTACATTGCAATAAAATGACTGGTTTCTGAGTAATAGTTTCAGCTCCTGAGGAACCACTTTCCCTCTGACTCCTCAGTTTTCTCCTGATGGAGTTTATATTCTATATCTACAACCTCACTACTGCAATTAAGAAAGGTATGACTTAATTTTTTTACATCTTTAGGAGGGCTTAGTCTGGCTGGCTTAAATTATAAAAATATGTCACAGTTAATTTCAGTAGAGCATCTATTTGAACTATTTGAAGTAGTTATTGCCAAGTATAACTAACATTTTATTCTCCTAATGGGAAGATAATGCTTACTTCCTGAATGTTATAGTATTCTAGAACTGTGAGCCCACTATGTTTGTAGGTGTGTGTGTACACATTTGCTTTTATCATCTTAGTTTTTTTGTTTTTTTTTTTTTTTTTTAAGGGAATAACCATTGGTTACCTCTGAAATAGGTGTAGGAACTATGGGACATCAGTTTATCATGAAGGATTTTTATGCTTTCACTTATTCCTTTGATATTTTTGTAAATTTTGATGATATAAATATACATATACACACACAGATGTATATACACACACATTTATAGTACAAGCCAATGGCATTCTGTGTATTCTGGCCTCTTCAAGACTGAGCTCAGGCCCACAGTCAACTTSATTTTTTATTTCCCTTAGGATACAGATTGGGAAATAATAAAAGACGATTTGAAACTAAAATTTATCACAAGTAATTTAGCAGTATTTATCATAATGATGGAAAGTGATTTGTTTTAATAAGAAGGTTGCTTAAGAGATCTACATTGTAATGAAAATTGTAGTAGAAGCAACATCACACAGGAACCAAAGAACCTTAACATCTTTGTGGCTTGTTGTCATGCTTAAAAATATATATGTATTTTAGTTGTAGTTAGACACAATACCTTTATTTTACTTATTTATTCTAATGTGGTGCTGAGGAACAAACCCAGGTCCTTGAACATGCTAGGCAAACGCTCTACTGCTGAGCCAGAACCCAAGCCCTAATGCCTTTTTTTTTTTTTCTTTTTTCATATTTATAAGATGGTTGCACCAGGGTCACAGAATCTGAATCATAGAATTTTCTGATCAACCCCTTCTCTCCATATTTTCTCTACCCACATACACCTTCAGTTATGAATTCATTTTGAAATGAAATTTTGTCTGTGGTCCGTGAATAGTAGGTCACTCTGGGCTGTTTACAAAATTATGTGCATTTGTGTTTTTCTCTGGGCTTAGTAAATTCATTGAATGAGTGGAAAGATTTCATGATCTCCAAGAGTTTAATAACTACTGCTTTCAAACAACCCTGAAGAGTAAGTACCTGCCTCTGATTTAACAATAGATCTTGAAAACCTATTTATTTATTTACTTACTTTGGTACTGGGGATTAAACCCAGGGACATTTAATCACTAAGCCACAACCCGAGTCCTTTTTTGTATTTTATTTAGAGACAAGGTTTCACTGAATTGCTCAGGCCCTTGCTGAGTTTCTGAGTCTGGCTTTGAACTCACGAACATGCCTCAGCTTCCTGAGCCACTGGGATTAAAGGTGTGCACCACTGCACCCAGGCTGGCCCTTTTTTCCTTACCACTACTGAACAGTTTAGCCTCTGCATTCAACATGTGAAACAAAATATAACACAGAAAAAAAAAAAGCTAGTAAACTTGAAAAGTAAACTTAGTAAGCTCAGTGCCACAATACAGATAATTAAACTTTAAATCTTTCTTCACATTTCGTATTATTTTTATCTGGCTTATCAGACCTCCCCCMCACACACTGAATAAAATTTCCATGAGAAAGGGATAGTCATTCATTGCAAGGCTATTGATATTTCACCTCTGCTGATTACTTTTGACTGTAACTTTTAAAATGGAAGTTTAAAAATTGAAGGCCCTTTCAAATACTGAAAGGTTTAAAATTTGACAAAGTAAAAATGAAAACCATTTTTAGTTTTATTAAACAAAGTGCTTTAACTAAAGTGCAGTTTAGTTTTAGTTGTGAGGAAAAAAGGCCTTCGGTTTTTAATCAGAAATCTTGAAAATAATGTCACATAAGTTTTGACCTATTAAAAGAGAAGTAAGATTTTTTAAACTATTACAAAAGTTTATTTAACAAAATTAAAAATGCACTTGACCTAATTTTTACATTATGGTAAAAGCAGGCTTTTTGGAGAAGGGACATGGATTTTTCTGCTGAATAGCTATCATTTATACTCATTCTAAGGCTTCTGGCATAATACTATTTCCTCATTACCACCTATTGTTCTCTTGCCCACTGGTTGCCATCTTCACAGAGTCATCTGTTGTAAGATTCATAAAAGGATTACATTCCCACAGTATTTCTTGAATGTGTCTACCAATATTTAATTTTAATGATAAATTCTTGTCCATCCCCCTTTTTTTTTTTTACTTGAAAAGGTAAGCTTTACTCATGGTGTATACTTGGCAGGTTCAAAACTGCTTTTTCAAAATAAGATTCTTGTCTGCAAATAAAGGAGGAGTGGTTAAAACAGACTAACCATAGTCCCATCATTTTGATGAAGGAATGCAGTAATCCCATTGCAGTATTGCAGTACTAAAGGATCAGTGATTTCAGTAGAGGTATTACTGGTATGCTCCAGGTGTGGAGTATTGGAGCTGATGCTTCTGGCTTTCTCTTGGTGCTCTAATGTTTTCTTTTAAGTTCATAAAAGGAAATGCTGTGCTGACCAGAAAACTTGTAAGCCTAGAAGTTGACACTGAACTCTCATTTCCTCACCTGTAAAGGGGAGTAAAAGTGACATTGACACACCAAGGTGTCATAATTATTCAATGGGGGTAAAACATCCGCCACAGGGTAGGCATTTAGTAAACAGTGGGTGTTATTACAGGTAAGAAATGATGTTTAGAACACTTAGGAATATTTATACTTTGAAATCCTAAAATTCCTTTGGTTGTAATTCTTTCTAAATTCTTTGTTGGCAAACAGGAAAATAACTTATTAGGAGGAAGTATATCTTGACATAGTTGCCTCAGATATTTTCAAGGTAGATTAGACCATATCTTAAGTTCACACACTAAAAATTCCTTTATTTGGCTTACTGAGAAAATGTGTGTGTTAAATCATCGTGGTGTTCATTTAAATAGCATAACTTGCTATCTAAATTGGTTCCATTGATGATATCCAATAGTTATCTTATAATGGAAGATAAATGTGTCATTGAGACTTAACTGAGCTCTTAGATCATAATTTCTAAAATATGCTAATAAAGTAGCAGGGGCCAAACAAATGTTCAAGATATCTCCAAACAGTCTATTTTGAGGCTTGATTATAATGGGAGGAGGCATTAGGATGCCTTAAGGATAATTTGGTTTAAGAATTTTCTGTATTATCAGACTTCAGTGTGGGCATTAGTTTGGAGTGACTGCCGATCTCTGGATCTAGGCTGAGGTAGTTCGCCTGACCCCTGCTACTAGATATGAAGAGAATTAAATTCCCATCATTAGACATGATTCTTTTGGTGATACTGGAAATAGAAAAATATCAGATATACAATAATAATTYATTACTAATTGATTTTAAAGAAATCTGTACTTAATAGCTCACAAGCCAAAGTAGTTAGCACAGGGCTGGTTTCATAAARGCTAAAGATAACATTGTGCAGTTGTTGGTCATTTAGGAGAGGAGAAAAATTAAAGATCACAGCAATTCAGTTCATTCTCTTGACTGTATCTGTGTTTACTTTTCTCAAAAACTTTTGTATAATAATGTATCTCTAACATGATGTACAGCATATTTTTATTAAAAAGTTTATTGTAAATGTGAAGTTTGGGTTACTTTGGTGTTCCAAACAATAAAAAAAATACACACAAAAAAAATGTTTGTTTGTGTTACCTATCTCTGCCGTGTTACCAGGCTATCCAGAATGTTTTCAAGCAAAAACTAATGTCGGTTGAATTCATTCCTTTGTGGATAATTAAAGCCTTTTGTCAAATATATTTATTCAGTAATCATTAATATAAAGAGACCTCTCACCATTTTTGTTGCACTATTGCAAATGATGGTAAAGTAAGAATTGAGTATTTGTTAGATCCTTTTTTACTTATAACTTTTGTAGCCAGAGGTTTTAAAGAATCACAAATTATTGGCCTATTAGGCTGAATTGCTAGGCAAGTGTTGTGATAAACTCATTCCCTGTGTAGCCTCAGTAGATATTTGACTTTATCCTAAACTTGGGCACCTTGAGAAATATGGAGATAAAATTGATTTGTGAATTATTAAACACTTGTGTTTGCTTTTGTGCAATGGTTATAATCCCTAAAACTGCCTAGGAGGCAAATGATTTTACCAGCCACTTCAGAAATTCCTTTAAGATAGGTATTTAATTGATGATGATTTCACTTAGCTTTGGATTTCTTTGCCTCGTCTCTAAAATTTTGAGGTTTTTTTAGAGCTACTAATTTTTAACAACATTTAAATTAGAACATTAGAGCACCAATCTTTTAGTAATGTATTAAGTCATTAACGATGAAAGAAAACCTGGAGAAGATTCTAGAAATTAGGAGTTTTAAGAACATAAWACAGCCTAATTTTAAAGAACAGTTTTTGCACTTTA